CACTGCATCTTTAAAAACTTGCATGTTAAAATCTACAAACTTGAAACTGTCAGACATGATTAAAAAAAAAAAAAAAGACCGCAAAATTTCTCAAAATAGATTAGAATACAGGAAACGTTTCATGAAACTACTGAGATACTAACCAGTGCTATGGCTAATATTAAAACTGAACATTCTAAGTGGTACTCACACTAGTCCTACACACAGTGAACAATACAATCACAATAATCAACCTCAAGCTAGCAACAGAGTTGCAAGGTCTGTAAGAACTTCTTCAATGGGGAAAATGCTATGGTATAATCAAAACATTGAGGGAGGGAAAAAAGCCTTTTAGTAGTAAAGTTGTTTACTGGTGTTTCTACTGTAAAGTTCTTCTACAAGCCAAAATGAAAATGTAATTATATAGATGACGGTGATCAGAGACTACAGTGCAGACACTTCATCTAATATGGCTGACAAACTTCAGTATTACAGATTACGACTTAGTATTTATTACACAGTCATGATCGAAAGCAGAGCTCAAAACAAAAAGACACACCCCACATCAACACCCCATCATCATGTTCACCACATTTAGGGTTGACATACTATGTCTCAATTTATTTAACATTCTGAAATATCAATGCTTAAGTCAAGGCTTGTACACATTAGTCCATTTGTTTCAAGTTCTCAGACCAAGGAACAGCTTCCTATCTTTGTTACATCTTAAGTAACTATAATACAATCTGTGCCATCTTTTTAACTATCCTCCAATATCTTTTAATTGTGCACTGATTAAACCAGTGAAACGACATTATTTAATGATTGCTACACATTTCCTTTTAAACAAAAATCAATGTATCAAGTATTAAGTACACAATATTTTCCTTGTCTTAAACTGAATATTTCTTTCCATTTTTCTACAGTCAGTGCCACCTTGCCAAAAACTACATTGCTTAACCTTTCTTTTTATGACTGCAAAAACGCTAAATGCAGACGTATAATATTTACGCTAAATACATTTGAAGTAGACAACAAATTTCAAGTAAAATAAACTGCATCCACATCTATTAGGACCAAATAGGTCTCAACACCTAGATTTTACTTCTATAAATTACACAAACACATTGTACATTCTTAAATAATGAATGCTTACAATATTAACGTAAGCCTTTCCACATAAAACAACTTACACAGGAATGTGAATTGGTCAGTATTTGTTACCAATTGCAATGCTCTCTTGAGTTTCTCATTTGTGGTGGTTGTTTTGTCTTCCTGGTTTCCAGAGACTACTGTATGAGTCCTTATGCTTTGGCTATGAGATCTGTTTCAGCTGAATGAGGCAACATTGGTTATTAAGGCTTATTTCTATGATGGAGCATTATCCTTAAATCTGATGCCATTTCCAGAGGACAGCAGGAGAATCACAGCTATCTTGAATCTTCAGGTTCTGTTTTGATGACTTTCTTTTCCAAGGTAAAAGCAGAGTGAGGGTAGTCTTTTAAAATCCCAAGGCTCTCTGCAATAAAAACAAAAACAGGAAGAGGACTGATACTTTAAATCAGCAGACTACAAAATCAAAAGTTATTAAATCCCCAAACTTTATAGCAAATAGCATTAACTATTCATAATTCTGCAATTCCATTTAGAATTTTATTTATAGAATTGTGATTAAAAGCATGGATTCTAAGCTAGGTGTTGTAGCACATGCCTTTAAGCTTAGCACTTAGAAGGCAGAGGCAGGTGGGTCTCTGTGAGTTTGAGACCAGAGTACAGTTCTATTCCCAGCACAGTGCTCAGGAGGCTGAGACAGGAGGGTCTCTGTGAGTTTGAGACCAGAGTACAGTTCTATTCCCAGCACAGTGCTCAGGAGGCTGAGACAGGAGGATTGCCTTGAGTTTGAGGGCAGCCTAGACTATGAGCATTCAGCCAGCCAAAGCCACATAGCAAGACACTGTCTTTAAAGTAAAAGCTTATTATATTTAAGTCCCAACTGTGCTGACTACTAGCTATGAACTGGTCTGGTTAAGTTATACACCTGAGCCTTAGTGTCCTTATTTATAAGATGAGGATGTGGGGCTGGAGAGATGGCTCAGAGGTTAAGAGCACTAACTGCTCTTGCAGAGGACCTGGGTTTGATTCCCAGCATCTACATGGTGGCTAACAATCATCTGTAACTCTAGTTCCAGGGTAGCAGATATCCTCTTCTGACTTCTGTGGGCACTGCACAACATAGGTGCACTTACATACATGCAGGTAATACACTCATATGCATAAAATAAATAAAAATAACAAATAAAAAAAATTCTAAAAAGATGAGGATAGTATCCACAGGAAGCAGGCAGAGAGGTAAATAATGAAATGCACATAAACAGAACACACAGAACATTTTTTTTTTCCTAGTCTTTTTGAGGCAAGGTCTCCTTGTAGCCACAGCTGGCCTAGAACTCGCTATGTAGACCAGGCTGGCCTCCATCTCAGAGATCCACCTGCCTCTGCCTCCCAAGTGCAGGGATTAAAGGTATTCACCATACCCAGCTACAGAACATACCTTTTTAAATGTTTAGTGCATTGTGGTAAGAATATAGAATAAAATTAGTCTTTTATACACAAATGTTAATAGCTAGGATATTTACAATCAAAGAAATGAGACAGAATAAATCTTCAATCGCTAAATATGGAACTATTTCTAGAGGTTCCTCTGCCATGGCATACTACAATAGGGACGATAGGGTTAAAGATCGAAAGTTTACTTTTATAAGCAATCATTCATAGAGTTTTATGGGTACAGTTATTTCAACCACAAACATTAGAGCAGAAAATGTAATGCAATCTTTACATAATGTACTAATACTTGTATATGTAAATACACATACACATGTGAATGTGGGCCAATACACACACACACACACACACACACACACACACACACACACACACACACCCCATATACTCCTTGAAAGGATTCTATAAAGATAACCAACACTCCTAGCCTATTTGAACTTAGGTAGCTCAATATGTACAGGCACCGTCTCTATATGGAAAGTGATTTTAAATTGCACTTAAGAATAATAAAAACAGCTACCATTTTTAAAGTTTTTATCAGCCATGCAATTAAATATACATATCTTGTTACTGCTTACAACTACCCTGTGAAGTCAGATGACTCAAATGAGAAACACGTAATTATGTAACTAACAGGCACTCAAGTTTATCAATATTAGGTCTGGAGCCAGGTTTTCATGGTATGGAACCTGTATTATTTCTATTTGATTCTTTTTTTCCAAGTACAAAGTCTTCTTTAGGCATTCCTTTGTTCAGTTCTATATAAAATCCCAGCTCAACTAAATCTATGTAGTAGAGATACCAGGTGTGCCCCCACAACGAGACAAATCTGATCAATGTAACTGCATTATTTCCTCTAAATGGGGTCTTGAAAGCAATATAAAGTTGTAGAAAGCAATTTAGTTCATTAAGGACTTTAAAGAATAGATCACTTGTTCATGCTGTGGAAATAAGAGAGCAATATGCTGTTGTTTTAGGGTGATTTCATTATCCTCTTTGACAGCCCCAAAGCAGCTAGAACAAGTGTGAAACAGCTAAGTCAAGGGGCAGGGCATACTTTAGGACTTCAGCCTTCTGGGACGTCTGCTGCTAGGAGCATGAAACTGAAAGACATAAGACTCTCTTGGTAACTTTTTTCCTATAATTACTTAATCTGGCTATGAGGTCAGGTTTCCCAGTGATTTCAAATATGCATTCACAGCTTCCTGATCTTTCAAAATCAATGGCTTTGATTAACTGATTGCTAAAGTTACTTTTACTCAAATATGGAATGATACTAGACTCTTTTGAAAGGTGCTAATATCTGCTATTCAACTTAGTCTAATTCATTTTATGAGTAAAACTACGTTAAAAAAATCTAACTAGGAACTCTTAATCCTTTTACAGACTTCAAATAATTTCTGAAATTTGAACATCATCCCTAAAATGTATATACATAGAAAATTTAGAGTCTGGTACACAAGGTTTTCTTACTGTGAGAGCAAACACACAGCTAAAATACCAATATTATGGCAATATATAATTTCCAAGGGGGGAAAAATTGCCAAGTAAAGCTGACAAGTGCATAATGATGTGTGTGTGGGGGGGGAAACAGGTGCAGAAATAGGAGAACAGAATTTAAAGGTGTGTTATTCAAGTTTTCTCTGACCAAATAACATTCTCACCTGATGAGTGGGACTTTGCCTCACTGGAATAAAGTCTACTCAGCTCCCCATCTACCATAAAATGATGGGGCTGTCTGTTCTGCAAATTAGGCATTCGGAGATTCAAAGGCCTTTCTCCTAATGAAAAGAAAGGGATAAAAAGAGGAACATTAAAATATTGCAACTTTTAAAAATTTTATTTATAAAAATATTTCATAAGAGTCCATATGTATAGCTAAAGGCTACATAACAAGCAACAATGCCAGACAGGCGATACCGTTTTTTGAGTTGTTGGCCAGGGTGGCCAAAGGGATTCCCAGATAGTAACCCAGCATAGAACTTGGAAAATGAACAGCAGACCCCAATCTTATCCAAAGGAATATTGACAACTGATTACCACTAGATGAGGAACAGCTGACCCTCCTAAAACAAAGACTTCTAGATAGGCTGACTAGATTCACAAGAAGGGCAAGTAGTGGGGAATAGCTGGGGGTGCTTACAACACAGCAGACAGTAGCAGGGATATCAGAGTATAAGGGCTCTAGTCGGGGGGAGAGGGGCTATGGGAGGGTGCTATCTGGGAAGTGGGTGTAAAAATAAATTTAAAAAATATACAAAAAATTTCATTTAATCATTTTTATTTTATGTGTATGAGTGAGTGTATTGCCTGTATGTATGTAAGTGCACCAGTGTCATGCATGCCCACAGAGGTCAGAAGAAGACGTCAGATTCCCTGGAACTGAAGTTATGGACAGTTGTTAACTGCCATGTGGGTGCTCTCAACCACTGAGCGACCTCTCCAGACCCCCAGCTATTTTTTTTAAAGCAAGTTTTCACAAATTGTCAGAATAGTCCTTGGGAAGAAGGATCATCAACAGGCTTTGGAGAATTTATAACAGTGGGGAAAACACTTAAAATAATAATTTGGGAGGAAAATGGCACATGATTTCATGCTAGTACCAGAGCAAACAAGTCTGTTAGGATGTACTTAGGAGCTAAGCATAAGGCAAACAAAGGATGAATGAATCCAGTAAGCATTCCTATAATGGCACTGCATTTCTATAAGGCATTTTCATAATACTGTAGCCATATACTAAGGCATGCCATTGGCTAACCAAATAACAAATACTAGAGACTCGAGATGGCTTCAGGTCAATTACAGATTTTTTTAAAAAGGTTAAAATCCATGAAAAAACATAGTAAGTATAGATAGAGTTTTAAAAATGCTCTATATGCTGGGCATGGTGGTGCACGCCTTTAATCCCAGCACTTGGGAGGCAGAGGCAGGCGGATCTGTGTGACTTTGATGCCAGCCTGGTCTCCACAGTGAATCCAGGACAGCTGGGGCTACAGGAAGACCCTGTCTCAAAAAAACCAAAAAAAAAAAAAAAAAAAAAATGCTTTATATGCTTTAGTATCTGTCATAACAAATTTCTACCCCACAGTAAATTATCCTAGTGTTACAAATTCAGCTCCATCAAATATTTCATAATTGCCTTTGCTTCTAAATTAAATCTTAGCTGCTAAGAATGATCAAAGAAATTTTAAAAAGACCTCAGCTAAAAAGTCTCATGTTTTAAAAAGAAAAAAATGATTTCCTCCAGTACTGCAACCTGCTAACCAAGGGTAATATTTCATTCCACTGTTGGAAAAGGCTTAAGACAGTATTCTTAGTTGGATAGAAAAAAAAAAAATCTTTGCCAATAGACATCAAAGAATTACTATCTAGAACATATAAAGAAGTATAAAAATTAAACACCCAAACTCCAAATCTTCCAATCAGTAAATGAACAAATGAAATGAAGACAATTTTCAAAAGAAACACAGATGCCCCAAAATAATTTGCAAAACTGCTCAGCATCCTCAGCTACCAGATAAATAAAAATTAAAATTGTTTTGAGAGTCTATCTCAACCCAGCCAAAATGGCTAACACAGAAAAACAGTAACAAATGCCAACAAGGATGCAGGGAGAACCCTTACTTACCTCTACTGAGAGTCTAAATTGGTCCAGCCACTCTGCAAATAAGTATGGAGGCTTCTCAAAAAACTAAAATTTGAACTCCCATATGACCCAGCTATACCACTCCTGCGTCTATGCCTAAAGGACTCTAGAAACCCTAGAGATACCTGCTTATCCATGTTTACTACTGCACTATTCACAATAGCTAAGAAATCAAACCAGCCTAGACAGTCACCAGCAGATGAATGGATATTGAAAATGTGGTACATATATGCAAAGGAATTTAATTAAGTTATAAGAAGTGAAATAATAGCATTTGCAGGAAAGGGGATGGAAATGGAAATTATTATATATTATGTTAAGTGAAATAAGTCAAACTCAGGCAAATACCATGTTCTGTCCCATATGTGGAACCTAGAGGGTGTGTGTGTGTGTTTGCACATGCACTTGGGCTCTGAAACTAGAAGGGGACCATAAGATGGGGAGAAGAAATTTTAAGGAAGGGGGAGGGGGGAGAGTAATGTAATATATGTGACATAAGATCAGAAAGGGGTCTGTTGGAGGGAGGAAGGGAATCAGCAAGTGGGGGTTAGGAGAAGGTACTGGGGAAGGGACAAATTAGAATGAAATCGAAGTACCACAACCAAACCCATTACTTTGTAGGCTTCCCTAAAACATTAAAAACATTCTTGTAAGTTGGTACTCCTACTTGGAAAGAAGTCTTACTTACTAACAAAGTTTGTAAATATTCTCTGGAAAAGTGTAAAAAATATATAAATATGACACTATCAAATTATTGTTTTTCTTCATCTATTTAGCAGTATTCAAAACTAGAGAACTATTTATAGATTTATATACTATGCATTTCCCTCCACTAGAGGGTAAGCTCCACATGGGCGAGGGGCTGTCTTGTACATGCTGTGCTTTCTGTGTTTAGAAACATGCCTGGCATATAGGAAATACTCCAAAAAATCTGCTGAATGAGTGGGTAACAATGACTTGGGATTTTCTTCATGTTGAAGACATGAAAAAAATAAAAGAATTTTCAGAGTGGTAAAAATACTCATGAATCACATAGCTTTCTAACACTGACTTAGATTCTGACATATTTTAGAAATAACTACCATATTCTCTTGGAAAAGAAATGTTATACATTTTAAAGAAATTAATTTTTGATGTCTAAAGAAAGGTAAGGCTTGATCTTTATAGAAAGGATAAAAGCTGGAGTGTGCCTCAGTGGAAGGCCCTGGGTTCAATCCCCTGCACACCAAAAGAGAAAGAGAAATGACTTGACAGAACCAGTTTCTTTGGGGAAAATGATCTATACAGATCACCCCCAATCCTTTCTAACCATCTACAGAATACTTACTTTAAGCATGTATGTGAGCTATGGTACAGAATGATAAAATTCAAAAATCTGATAAATTGAAATACACAGGATGAATTCTTTCCTTTAAAAAAAGGACTAGTTAAAAAACTGATTTTCACAGATACCAATCTCTACCCGGAGATTTAAAACTCATCCACTTTCCCTGACCCAGCAGGAGCTCCAGAGGCCCAGGTCCCTGAGGAGGCGCACCTTGTCCATCTGAGCCATCAGAAGGCAGGCCATTGGGGCTGTGCTCTTCTGAGCTCTGCCTGTAAAGCCCAGCAGTCAGTCTTCTCTCGGCATGCTGCAGCCTCTCATAGCCAGCCTGGGTGCACAGGAACTCCATCTGCTTTGCTATCCCCTTTTCAGGCTGCTAGTAAGTAAAGCAAAAATAAAACCAGTAACTAAAACATCCTAGATTTCTTAATGGTTTAAAGATGCCAATTTCAGACTTCAGCAATATATTTAGTATTTATTAAAATTAGTTCACACTTCATGTGGTAAACTTGGTTCCATAGATATGAATGTCTGTATCATGTTAAAACATAAAATGCTGGATTTTGTTCAAGGTTTCTTTTCAATCCCATAAGGAGAATTATGTATCAGCTCAAAAAACAACATAACCTTAAGCTTTGTTTTCCAAGGTACAGAGTCCTTTAAGGGATTTATTTTTTTCTCCTTTCTTTAAAAAAAAAAGGAACCCAAGAGCAACAGCAACATCTGCTATCAACTGCTTCTAACACACAGGGTGAAATCCTGGCATTTTATTTTAGGATCTGGCGTTACCCAGACTCTGCTATGATGACAGCATGTTTGGAGGAGAAAAGGTGTAAAACGGCTGTCTAGAAGAACAAGACAACACACCTCCCACCAAAGTTCAACAATGCAAATTATGCAGAAAGACAGCAGAGCCAGCAGAGACTCTGCCTCCACCCCACAGTGAAGCCCAGAGCTTCCCAACCAAGCACAAAAGGCCAGGCTTTCAAATACGAAACTAGTGAGCTGACATATAAATCTATTTCCAAATGTATTCTGTAAACTCCTTTTCTATGCCTGCTCTAAATTACTTATGTGTATTCAAAGAACCATACCTATGATATTTTGCCAAGGAAGTCATAGTCAAAATGTAGATATGAATCATTAGCATCTTACGTAAATGTACTATAAGAAAGCTGCTATCCAAAATTGGTTACAAAAGCCCTGACACAATATTAAAAATCAGACAGAGGACTTAATTCACTGAATAAATATGATAAATGCTCATATATTTCTAAATGTGCATAAACTAGATCAAAATGCATATAACTTTTTATTTTATATGAACTTTCAACCAATTCATTAATTACATTTTATTAATTACATTTCAATAAGCATTCCTGAAGGGGAAATGTACTTTTCATTGGCAGTACTAAATGTGAATAAAAGCAGGAGCTCCACAGGATTAAAACCTGTAGTACTTTCTAAAGGGAGACACTCACAGATGGACTTTGGAAATGTCCATTTCTATGCACATACAGAGTTAAAATTTTACTAAAATTATAGGTGGGGAGAAGGCTCACTCAGTACAGTGCTTGTGGCACAAGCATGAGGATCTGAGTTCAGTCCCCAGCACTCATGTAAAAAGCTGGGCATGCTGGCAGCACCTGTAATCCTAGCATGGGGGAAGCAGAGACAGATGAATCCCTGGGCTTTCTGGGCAGCCAGCCTAGTAGAGAAAAGGAGCTCCAGGCCAATGAGGGCCCCTGTCAAAAAACAAGGTGGGCGGTTCCAGAGGAATGACACCAAGAGCTTTTTTCTGACCTCTATATCCAAACACGCACCCCCGACACAAACACAAATCTTTCAGGAAGATTTTAAGTGAGTTAATAATTAAAATGTTACAATATTTTATTGAGAACTACTGCTGTTTTACCCTAGAGTTGTACCATACATGGTTATTTTCCTGATACTAAATTGCTTCTCTTCGGTTTTCTTAAGTAAAGAATTAATGTTGCACCTCCTTCAAAACTACAGATAATAAACAAGTCCTGCTATATCAGATCGAGTTGTTACTGTCACCTTACTAAACAGTGGTAGATCAGAAGACATTTTAAAAAATAACCAGAAATAAACTCGGTCCTCAAAACCCTAAAACTGAAACTGGATGAACAGCCACCTGTTTTCAGCCTACTGATGTCACTGAGAGACACTTCCCAGAAGCATGTTACCTGTGAACTCAGAGCTGCAAGTTCTTCACTCTTGGCTCTGGCCTGCTGGAAGAGTGTCTGCACAGAATCCTGGAAATCTGGAAATCCATCCTGTGTGTCAGATCACAAGGCCTTCATATTTAGAGCTTGTTATGAGACAAGGCAAAGAAAACCACCTCATTTCATTAATGTCAGTTACTTCATTTCAGTCTTTTATGAACAAACACCTTATTTTCTACAGTGACAACACAAATGAACAAGATGGAAAATGCAACCATTGCCATCACTTGCACCGACGAGCAAACTTAATGACCAGGGATAAGACTACACAACGTTTCAGCCAGTGGTTCAACTAACTGCTCTCCTCACACTTGGTATTTTAGTCTTTTCCTAATTTCTACAAAAGGATGTTATTTTTTTGTGTGTCTTCTAACATTCTGTTAAAGGGCCTCTACTGGTTTTCCATGCCCCAATAGTATGTGTTTCTCTATTAGCACTGGGTACTGTTGGTTTTATATATTTTTTGCCCATTTATTTATTTTGACATTCAAAGAATTAATTTTATAATTAATTTATAATACTGCTGTATTATAAACTTGTATTTTACTTTGTGATTTCTTCTACTGCTCTAAAGTTTCAAAGGGCTATATGCTTTAGAAATTTGGTAAGTGCACAAATCTCTAGTGTTTTCATAAAGCTTTTCTTTATAATCCATCTAGAATGTACTTTGTTATGTATAGAGTAGTAAAGACTCAAACTGAAAAAAACTTTGTCATCCCACTTGAATTTCCTAATAATGTCCTGTGATTTCTCTTTATCACAAATAGTCCACGATCGGCAATGGGCCTTGGGACTTGCAGAGACCTGCAACCATGTGCAGTTCCACCCCTCGATAGCTATGTGACACTGGGTGGACAACAGAACCTTCCTGAATGTCACTCCTCACAAGAAAAATGAAGCTGAGAATCTATTAGAGTTGCTGTGGGTAGCAAATGGAAAAAGCAGATGAGAATATGCCTTTACCATGTGAAAAAACCACTAAGTAAAAATAGCAATCTATGTGACATTCTTAACATTCAGTTGGGTCTTTCTGGAGGGCATTCGATTCCTGGACAGCCCTTCCAATTACATTAGTTCAGTTTTCTACTTCACGTACACCACGTACTATTTCTTTCACGTTTCTCTTACTTGCCTATTTACTACTCCACATGAATGTAAGAACTATGGAACATCATGAAGGCTTTAGAAACCTGAAGGAAAGCTACTGAATGCCTCCTTAGAGAAAATGTCATTATCAATTAACTTTAAAACATATATTTTCCCCTTTGTTGGATAATCTGCATATTTTAACACAGGGTTAATTATTAAAAACCAAAGTAATAGCTGGGTGTGGTGGTACACACCTTTAGTTTCAGCACTGGGGAGGCAGAGGCATGCAGATCTCTGTGAGATTGAGGCCAGCCTGGTCTACATAGCGAGTTTCAGGGGAATACCTAGTCTCAATAAGGACCCTCCTCCCAAAAAACCCACCAAAATATTCTATTTGTTTGAGACATAAGATATTGGTTCAAAACTTTTTCCCACTAAGGTCTTTTCAAAAACTATGTGCCATGCTTTCAAATATTTCATCTACCAAAATTAATTTCCTAAACAACAACTAATTCTGTTTTTAATTTTTAAGAAAAATTTTATTGTTTTGAGACAGGGTCTCACCCTTCAGAGTCCAGGCTGGCTGGGAACTTGCTATGAAGCTCAGGCTGACCTTGAATTCCCTTGAACTTTCTGTTTCTTTGCCTCCTGAATGCTAGGATTAAAGTATGCACCACCACAACTGGCTAATTATCTGTTGTTGTTTCTAAAAATCAGACATGAAATACTATAATTGGAAGTAAAAAGCAAATAAATTTGCTATCTTGAGACAGCTTTTATGCAGCTTTGTGTACAGCCTATATTTCTCAAGTATTTACAACAGCTGCCATCCTAGATCCCTATACTAGCTTACAGGAATGGACAGATTATAATCATTAGGTAAGCTAGAATCAACTTTAAGAACAAGAAAATGCACCTTTTTTTTACTTATTCCATTTTTCTCTGAAGATTTTTTATTTTTTATTTTTTTTGCTCCTAAAAATCCAACCTACTCTTTAGCAAGTTCTAGAATAGAATGAGGTAAACCAGTTGATTTGGAATAAAAGCATCAGTAAGAACGCCCATCAGTTTTCATGATGGTTTTCAGTAGCCCACAATGTTACCAGTTCGATATATTTCACATACATTTTCTACTTAATTCTCCCCACAAATGACCCCAGGCTTCTTTCAACATATAGTGATAGACACTAGCTGCAAACCTAGACACAATCCATAAAACCCTTTAAATGTCTACCTTTCTGAAACTTGTTAACAATATAAGCATTTCTCTTACAGCTATTTTTTGAGAATTGACTTCAACACTATGATCTGTAATGAGTTTGAAATCTAATTCTATTACTTATTTCTGTGATACAGAGCAGATTATTTTGCTCCTGGATAATCTATGAAATTGGCATTACAGTAGCATGAGGTTAACTTTACAGTCACTTTTAAGAGGAAAAATGCATAGGAAATACTTAGCACAATGGCTGACACACAAAAAAAATACCTCTGAAAAATGTTTGTAACTGACATTTAGTTCATCCAAAAAGTCACCAGATTTAATCAAAGTATGACACAGTCTCAGCATAATACAACTTACTATACCTCTGTTATGCAGAGGAAAAAGAACAAGTGTTATGGATAATGATATAGTATAGACATCTTAGAATGTGTGAGAACTACATATTTAAAACTACAATCAGCAAGAAAATACTGAGTATATTGGTAGGGAAATATCTTGGTGAAAAGCACCAAGTGGAGATCTAGAAACATGCTACCTAACTATTTCAAACACACATACAGGGACACAAAGGCAAACAAGGCAGGCATGTCTGCTGAAACCTGAAAAACAGTCCAGAGATGGATCTGGACAGAGATCAGAACACTGTGGAGGGTCCCAAAAGAGCATTGTGCTTTAAGGAAGACCATGCTCTAGGAAGAGATAGCACCTTATTTAAGGCTTGAAGAGAACAGGATACACAGCACGGTGTATTTATTAAAGTAAGGAATGCCCTAGGAAGAGGGAGAGGTAGGAGAAGTTAGAGTGCAGGGCCAGATTTTCTGAGGCCTTATAAACAATATTAAGTCTAGATTTTATCTTAAATATAAGAAGTCATTGGATGTTTTAGAGAAGAGACTGACAGACATGAACTTCAGAAAGGCCAATCTAAGTACACTTGGGTCAAAGATGGTGGTAGAGACTTGTCTGTGGTGATGACAGAGAATGGTGGCCTAGTCCCAGGCAATGGCAGGTGTAGAAGTAAATAGATTGCTGAGGTTAGGCCAGTGGGAGTTTGGTGGGGAGATCCACTACAAGAAGGGACACAGGCCAGGCAGTTATGAGAGGGAGCTAGAAAAATGGAAGAATTCAGTTGGGGAAAATTGAAAGGCTGCTGAGTCATCCCTGTACATAAACCAGGTATATAGGTACACTGAGTTTGGACAAAGGGACAGAATCAGGGCTGGAGATTCAGCACAGTCCCCAGCTCAACAGCAGGCTGTGGGTGGAGTGTGGTGACAGAACCCCCAGATGCCCCAGTATCTCAAACACTGTTTTGAAGAGGCTGCAAAAGGAGAAAAGGCTTAGCCAGACTTCTCATGTTGGAACCAGATGTGTGGTCTCAGGAAAGCAGCCAAACTCATTATTTCCAGTGCTCCCAATTTTTTCATGGAGATTACATCACCTGCTTTATGTGCCCAGGGGAGATTTGTGGGTATTAACTGAAGTAATGCAGATGGCAAATCTTGTCAAACATGACAACGCATGGTCAGGATTATTCAGCCATGAGAATACTGGAAAGGGGAACTTCAAACTCCATACATGAAGGTTTCTGGGAACTGGATACTGATCCATTATAAATAAAGAGAAACAAGAACTGGCAATAAATAACAGCAACATCCAAGCAGCTGCTGATCTCTGCAACCAAGTTGTTCTGATTTTCTCCCAGACCTAACAGCTCACTGTGGCTAGGAAAACTGTAGGACTTAAGCTAGCGCTCCATCAGATAGAAACTAGGTTCAAGCTACCTGAAACATGAGAAATAAAAGGAAGACCATTCCCAAGAAACTGGTATGCTTGTAGGAACTATCCTGGTCCCTTTCACATCGTATTTCATGAAGGACTTGCTATGTCTCTTTAGCATTCTTTCTGGGCACCAGCTGTACCATGCTATGAGCAATTTATCTCCACGTCACATTCTTGGCTGCTACCATTAATCACAGCGTTCCCTTGCTTATGAGTCTCTCGGTATCAGCACTGAGAAAAATAAAAGATAGACAGTAGAATGCTGTTCATGACCTAATTAGTCTCACCCCTTTGGTCTCCATCCTCATTCCTCCCCATCCTTCCCAGCAAGCACCAGAGCAAGCTGTTTTAAGGTCACTGCCTAGCTGTCTAGAAGTGATGCGGTGCAGCAGATGTTTTCAACCCCACATGTGCATTTGCCTTTTTCTCTATTCATACTTTCTGTATGAATAGCAGATCATGATGCTTCTGTTTTTCTGATACGGAGGGGAGTATCTACATCAAATTAGATTAGCTTTCTTTTCAGAAGCTTAATGACAGTGTAGGTGGGTACTCTGACCCTGTTTCCTCTCCCTCCCCCCCATCCTGGAACTGCTGGCAGATGTTTCCTCTTTCATGGTAAATCTCAATTCTCTGACTTTCTGGGTTCTCTTAACAAATTTCATTTCTTTCATCCAGTTATCCTTGTACCCTCTACTCCATAGGGTCAAGAAAGCTGTCACCTCCCAATTCTGTACCGGTTCCAGAAATTCTAATAAATGGAGAAAACTAACAGGTAAGACACATACAGTAACAGTCCATCCATGTAGTCTGCTGCCATCAGCAGACTGGGACTGTGGGTTACCTGTCCTTCTCTCCTTCTAAGAAGCTCCTGATGACACTATCATTACTGGAGATAATGACAGTTTGTTCAAGGAGCCCAATGTGTTCTTAAATGAAAAAGATAGGTTACCAACTGAGTCTACTTTTAACTCATATTTTAAAATTTTAGGCAAAGGCAAGAGATAGGGATTTTGGCTCTTAATTTTTTATGTTCCATAAGTAGTTGTCCAGCCCTCTTAGGATACATCCTGTCAGAGGTAAGGTATAAATAAATCACACTAACTTATCTTGATATACTTTATCTTCCCGATATACCATTTTCTTACTCATGCTAAACAAGAAGTATATCATAAGACAATCTCTTAAATATAAAACATATTTTGTAATTAGCATTGCTAAATTTTCTTCTCAAAGCTTACAGCTGTTTACTAGACAAACTTCCTCGGATTAGAGACCAACAGTCCTGCATATACTTAGCTCTTTACAACCATAGAATAGGAAGAAAGTTTGTGCAGATAAGGTACTTTGTGAGGTTCGTTAGCACCCAGAAAGATATTGCTTGAAGTTTAGATGTGAGACAGGGGCTCTGCCACTGGACAGCATAGTGCAGCTTGATACACAAATGTTTAACAGTTCTTGACAGTCTTAAGTGCTATAAAACAAGACAGCAGGTGTCATCTGGGTTTACAAAAGCCCCTTTGAAAGCAAGGCAAGAAAGTCAGGGAAACTGAGCTGTTTCCCATGGCCACCGAGGGTAAATAACTCTAGATAAGGGAAGGAGGGGTATCCTGAGGAACAATGAGCTCAGTGGGTTCCAGAAAGAGAGCACTGGCCAGTAGTGCAGACAAACAGAACAGGAAAGTGTGTCAGCAAAGAGAAGCAAGCTGGAGCTGGACTATGTAGGGTCTTAGATGCTACAGAAGTTTAGATTCTGTCACAGGAACAGAGAGCCACTGGGAAGATGTAAACAAGAAAAAATGTTTTTACAAGATGGTTTTGACTTGATGTGAAGAAAGGGTTTTGCAGATAATGTGATGATGGAAACTTAAGATAGTCAATCACAGCTAACCTGGTATAACTTGAAATTAAATAATGGGAAGAATGATATATCCCACCCAAGAAAAAAGGAAGAAAAGAGCCACCTGACTCTAATTTCCACTTGGCTGCAAACCAGACTTTTCAAAAAAAAGCATTTAATCAAATTAAAGAACAGAGGTTCTGAAACCATTCTACACTCCCAGAACCCTAAGAAAGCATGTTTTTCTTGCTCAATTCCTACCTTACCACTTACAAGTTAAAAATCACAGGGCAGTTTCAACAAGGGTCCCTTGAGAAAGGTTTTAATTACAGAGGAGTTTCCATGAATCACAGCCACTGAACTGTCATTTCCCTCAGATAATATTTCCCTCAAATAATACGAAGCAACTAAAGGTTAGCTCCTGAGTATACTTACTAATGATGAAAGATTATAAAAAGAGTTGTTTAACCAGTGAAGACTTTCAAATCAATAAGACACCAATTTTGAAATAAATCAACCTTTGATAAACTAGGTATCAATCTAGTCAATATAATTTCCTTTTAAGAATTTTTTTCTAGTTCAAAACACTAAAGATATTTTAGAATAACAAAATCCTACATAGTTTTTAAGATTCTATAATTCATTTTTACTAGCTTATAGACTCATTCTTTTTGTCTGAACTAGTAATATTTCATATTATTTTTGATGATCCTGTGACAGAAGCAGCATTATTAGTGTAAGAATATATTACACGTGATCATACCTCCACTTTAATTCTTTTTGGTGATAACTCATCTCTTTCACCACATTTTGACCTAAGGAGAGGGGAAAAAGAAAAACTTAAGGCAAAACATTTCAGCATTACTGAAGCAGTTCAGTCTATAATCTTCCCTCAGAATATATAATCCTGAAACCACTATGTAAGAAATGATAAACATGTATTGAATATTAACAAATGGAAATGATTTTCCATCATTTTCAAGTTATATTAGGGAATACATAGATAGCATGACATGTATTTTAAAGGCACTAACCTAAGAGCTCTACCAGAGAAAATACCCAATAAATATTTCAAGATAATTAAATGGTAAAGAAAACAGTATCAAGGAGGTATCTCTAGTTCATCAGGAACAGTTTAAGATAAAATGACAAGAAGGATCATTTAAAATGACGCTTAAGGCTGTGGTGGTGCACGCCTTTGATCCCAGCACTCGGGAGGCAGAGGCAGGCAGAGCTCTGTTTGTTCAAGGCCAGCCTGGTCTACATAGTGAGTTCCAGGACAGCTGGGGCTACAGGGAAACTCTGTCTCAAAAAGATAAAAAAAAAAAAAAAGACACTTAAGGTTATATAGCTGGGCATGGTGTCGCATGCCTTTAGTCCCAGCACTCAGGAGGCAGAGGCAGGTGGATCTCTGTGAGTTCAAGGCCAGCCTGGTCTACATAGTGAGTTCCAGGACACCTAGGGCTACAGGGAGACCCTGTCTCAAAAAGGCAAAAGAAAGAAAGAAAGAAAGAAAGAAAGAAAGAAAGAAAGAAAGAAAGAAAGAAAGAAATATTTTGCCTATCCACCACCACCACAGATGCATTTACCACTGACTCAGAAATCTCTCTTTAGGAATCTATCCCAGAGGTTCTAATGCAGATCTATGAAATGACACTCTGTCAGTTCTGGGGCATTCAATTATTTGATATAGTCTTGCCAACTAAACTATGAAACGTAAACTCTGAGTTATACTTCACTGTGAAAATATTTAAAAGTATATCTTGGAATAAGCAAAATATCCTAAGTATGACATTACTTCTTATGGCATTATTTCTAACAACAAAAGTCTACAAGCAAGAACCCAACAAAAGAGGACTGGACAAGCTGAATCACAATCTTTTACAAAATCAGCTGGTTTCAAATTGTAAAACCTTGCAAAAGGAGCCAGATTCCTCACAGAGTTCACCAAGTAGTTAGTGGGTGGCAAGTGTGACTAAAGGCTATCCATCATCACACTCAAGCCAAAGTTTGTGAGAGAATGGCTCAAACACCTCAAGAGTACTGTAGCGCTAGGAAACCCTGTCTTTCAAAAAGGATGACCAGAGGAGAGTTAAGCAAAACAATGAAAATCACTGTTGAGAGCAAGACGTTCCTCTGCCCATAGCACAGTAAGCTGCCTATGGATAAATTATATGTTATATATTTCAAAACCCTACAGAAAGGATTCTCAATGTGTTCACTATAAATACATAATAAATGTTTGAATAGGTAGGTTTAACCTGACTTAAACATCATACAATGTATATATGAACTGAAATATCATGTGGTCCCCACCGATATGCACAACTTTTATGCTTTTTTTCTAGAATTTTTCTTTATTTAAAATAAACTAATGCATAATCATAACTATAAATAATTATTAGTTTTAAATAGGGAATAGTGGGGTTTTTTATTTATTTAATAACCACATAATTAGAAGAAGCATTCCTTTACCGCTTTAACATATTCAATAACAATTTCTAGAGCTAAGATACATCTCTTTCAAAAGTGGCTGTAAATTTTTAGGTTCACAGTTGAATTAATACAGCTATACAATATTGAACTGAGTATAAACCCTGTAAGACATAAAATTGAATGAGTTTTTAACCTTTAAAAAAGATCGCCATTTCATTTTAAAATATACTGCTTCCTACAGAAAGACTCATTTTTAATGCTACTAACAGATGTTTGCACATGCATCTCTAATCTCTATGTATCTGACTATTACTAGTCAGTCGGTTACACTCAGATCTTCAGCACCTGAGTATGTATATAAAATCATCAGGTAGATTTCAATGGTAATGTTTATCACCTCTACTAATTTGTTGATTTTTTTGTGTGTATATCATACAGAACATCCCAAACAATCTTACTCATCTATATAGCCACTTCCCAAATGGCACCCTACCATAGACCATATACTCTGTCATCCGTTACTGTCTATTGTGTTGTCAGCGTCCCCAGGTTGTCCCCAGTGCTTGTCCATCTGCTGAATCTAGTCAGCTTATCTAGAGAGCCTTGCTTTAGGAAGATCAGCTGTTCCTCATCTAGCAGCAATCAGTTGTCAATATTCCTTTAGATAAGATTGGGGTCTGCTGTTCATTTTCCCAGTTCTACGCAGAGTTAGTGTCTGGGAGTCTCTTGGGCCACCCTGGCCAACAACTCAAAGGAAGGTATCTCCTGCCTGGCATTGCTTCCTGTTATGTAGCCTTTAGCTATACATATGGACTCTTAAAAAATTATATTAACCCCTTTAATCTTTGGTTATACTTTCCTTTTGGGTGTTTAAGACCCTACAGTTGGCCCAGATAAACCAATTTATTTTTACTCTTAAGGCCATTTGAGGATCTGTTCCTCAGGGGTCACATGGGCTTGGGAGGAGCCCCTGGCTCCTTTCTTTTACCAGTTCTGTCTATGTGAAGATAAGTCAAAGGTCCTACTCAACCATGGTTGGCTTCACTTACGTACCAGTTAAAAATCATTTATTAAAAGATCTCTATGAACAATGTTTTGAAAAATAATCTTTAAAATACTTTTTATGCATATGAGTATATTGCCTGCAAGTATGGTTAGTGCACCCACAGATGTCAGAAGAGGGCATGGGATCCCTGGAACTGGAGTTACGGACAGTTGTTAGCTGCCATGTCGGTGTTGGGAACCAAACCTGGGTCCTCTGGAAGAGCAGCCAGTGCTCTTAACCACTGAGTAATCTCTCTAGTCCTTGAAAATTAATTTTACAGTACCAAAATCAAATACTTCTTTTCAAAATGCTCATAGCCTATCAATGAGCAATATCTCAAACTCTACTTCTACCCAGCAATTCAAACATGCTGCTCTTTACCAAGCACTTACTTGGTGGTCCTGTAGGTGTACTTGTAGGTGACTTCTCGAGAAATCTGCCTGGCCAGTGCAAAGAGCTCATCCCTTCTGGTCAGCAGGGCGTTATCCTTCACACAGAGCTGAGCGGCTGCTTCATTAACAGTAAGCTGCACATCCAAATTCAAGTTTTAAAAACTATAAGAAATTCTATTTCATTGAGTGATAAAATGTTTCGCTTAATATAAACCCCATCTATATAAACTGAAATCACAGTTCAAGGACACTCTCCTCCTAAGTATTCCTTGTGCCAGATTTTACAAGGGCTAACTCCTTTTCCATCTTCTAGAGCCCACTTGATTTAAAATAATTATCTTAGTTTTACCTATTCATATTTATTTATTCTTCATATTTGACTAGGTAGGAAGAGTTTATGAATAATAAGGAAAAATAAAGAGTAAAAGGTATTCTGCATGTTTGCACATCTAAGTATTTCTTTGACCAAAAACTCCTACCAATGGACTTGCTAGGTCATAGAGTACACTAAACTTTAAGGCATTTTTGTGTCCAACCACATTTCTTTTCAGGTAAGTTTCATCAAATCATAATGCTATCAACACTCATGATAAAACCATTCCCTAGAACCCTGTACAACACTGTTTTCTGTCTCGTAAAAGCTTTGTCTACTTAATAGATCTAAATGACATTTAGTTATAATTTTCATTTATTTCATCATGAAACAACCTTTTATTTAAAGGTATGTGAGTTATTTAAAATCTATTTACCAGTGGCATGTCAGTTTCTTCTATTATGGCATTTCATTTTCTTATGGACTTTAGGAATTATTTATGAGTCGAGCATGACTTTGTTTCGCATGTGATGCTGAATTTAAGTTTTTCATTGCTTAGAGTTTTTTCTTTGACTGCCATGTATAGAAACACTTTTCCTGTCCTAATACTACCAAAAAGTTTCCCCACATTTAAGTCTAATACTTCGACTTCCCAGTGTTAGTATTTAATCCACCTAGAATGTATACATAGTAATACAAATTTCTAACATCTTATCTCATAAACTTCCAACTGTAATTATAGTGCTTATTCTAAAACAATTAATTTTACTATTGATAGCAAGGTTATAATAAACCCAGGCTTCCTATTTTAAGCTCACAGCTCAATATAAAAGTGTCACTGAAAAAGACCTTATCAGCCTTCTTTCTCCTTCCTAGAGAACCATCAAAGGCTAATTGCCTCCTAAAGTGTTTTCCTTTTTGATTTCTGTTGTTTATTTTGTTCTTTGAAATTGTTTCATATAGTCCAGGCTAGCCTCAAATTGTCTGTGAAGGAGAGAATGACCTTGAAATCATGATCGTCCAGTCTTCATTTCCCAAGTGCTGGGCTTACTGAAAAGCACCAACACACCTGACTCCAAAGTGCTTCTGAAAGGCTCAATGCTCTTGAGGTTAAAAGTGAAATATACTTTAAAGAATCATATGCTAAAATTCAGCATGGCAGAAGCTCCAATGGCCATGAAGACTCTTCTCAAATTGCTTTTTAAGTAGCTATTTCTTTTGTACTCATAAATCTAATTTACTATAGAAATTATCTGATTATCAGCAAGATATGTGAATTCACCACATTTCAGAACTACCAGTTTATGTACAGCCACACAGTAACTTTTCAACATACACTGAAAACAAGGTTCTGAAGACGTACTGCCAACCAGGAAAACATTCATCACACATTCACTGTCATTGAATTCTGGCTCCAACTGACTAAAATGGTGGACTTAACTCTTCCTGACCTCAAGAATGCTTCTGGCAGAAAATTAAGACTAGAGAAATAATTCTACCTCACTCCCAAGTTGTAGTAAGAAGCTAGATTATGAAGTTTCCCTTTAAAACCTGGCAAGTGTTATCTAGATTTTAATGCCCCTATTTGCTAATATGTAGCAAATTAGTGACAATTATACTTATAAAGAAAAATGACAAAAACACTCCAAAACTACAGCTCTAACACTGTTATTTTTTTTTTTAATGTCACTATTCTAATGTTGTTAAAGTATGAAATACTAAGGTATTCTCCTTTGGCTGGTTTGCACATTCTCCTGTGCCTCTTTTCATTGTTCAAAATACTAACATTCCTTTCTTCATGTAAACAATTTCTTACAGGTTGCTTTCTATCATTTATGATTGGACTTAAAAAGTAAACTCAGTTATCTTTACCTTCAGAAAGGATGAATAACTGATTGTATGAAAATAGTCTCTTTACTGGTAGTTAAAATGCTAATCTTCATCAATAAAATGGCTGTAACTTTCGATTAAGTATTGTCGGCATAAAAATATTACATGAATACTGCATGACAAAGAGGCTCAAAAGGCAATTTAGACTGTCATTTCTAACACTCAAGAGGGCAAGGTACCATGACTGTTACCACAACTTCATCTGCCAAACCAAGATGTCTAATTTCAACTGTCAACCTGATAAGATCACCTAGGGGACAGGCCTCTGGATATGTATGCAGGGGATTATTTTGTTTAGGTTAATTGAGGAGGACCCACCCACTGTGGGTAGCAGCATTCCCTGGGATGAGGTCCTACACTGTACAAAAGGAGACAGTGAACTGACACAGGCTTTCAGGGTTCTCTTCTAGGCTGTGGCTGCCTCAAGCTCCTGCTGACTTGACTTCCTCACATGATCAATTATACCTTCAACCATGAGCCCAAATAAGCCTTCCTTCCTTCAGCTGCTTCTGTCAGGGTATTTGAATCACAGGAACAAAAAAAAGTAATCAAACCATACCAACACAAACCATACCAACCAGCCAAGCAAACAAAAAACAATAAAAATGTTGAATAAATAGGCAGGGCAGGGAAGGGGGAATGACAGGGACTTTATTTGAAATGCTCGAGAAGCTGGAAAGTGAGTAAAGAAAATGAGCCACAATAAATGAAGACAGCGTTTTAAAGGAGTAAATAAAGGACACAGTTGCTAAACTAGATGAACTAAGTTTCTATCTCCATAGCTTCATGGGGCTGGTAACTGTGGGAGAGAACCAAGGGGCAAACCTTAGTGCCCCCGTGAAGTGAAGTGACTGAAGATCTCCTGTTCCCTAAAGCTGACCTTTAAGCACTACAACCAGAAAATCACCAGTTGCACTAGGGGAATGCAAGGAAAATATACCTGTCTTGAATCTCAGAGCTATGTGGAAGAGAAGGTAAACCTCTTGTGATTTCTTAACTCTAAAGCTATCTTTACAAAGTTCTTCAGTCCTAATTCATTCACACTTAATGGACTGAGAATTTATTTTCACAAGGTTTGAATTTTTAGTGTCTCCAGTTAACGTGTAGAAGCAAAATCAAGTAACTTCTAGGGAAAGCCACCTTGTCCCAGGGGCCTTTAAAGTTCTAAAAAATAGAAGCTCAAATAAATCATAAAACAGTCAAAGAAATTAGACATCAAAAGTGAAAACAGGGCCAGCGAGATGGTTCAGCAGGTAAAGGAACTTGCCAACAAGCCTGATGACCTGACCTCAATCCCTAGGCACCTACATGCTGGAAGGAGAGCATCAACCACAGGTAACTCAGACAGAAATATCAGAAAAATAACTAAGGGGGAAAGTTCATTAGTGTTTAGAAATAAAAAAATATTTCTAAATAAGTTATGAGTCATAAAAAAATCATAAAAAGAAAAATAATAAATAACTTCCTATCAAAACTTTGAGAACAAAGGCTGAAGCAACGGCTCAGCAGTTAAGAGCACTGGCTGCTCTTGCAGAGGACCCCAGTTCCGTTCCCAGCACCCACATGGCAACTAACAACCATCTGTAACTCCATTTCCAGGGGATCAGATGCCTTCTTCTGGTCTCCATGGGCATTGCACACATGTGACACACTTACATGCATGAGGCAAAACACTCATACACATAAAATAAAAATAAGCAAATAAATTTTTAAAAAACTTTGAGAATATTACCGAATCAAAGGGAACATGGCAAGAATTTAAGAGCTGCAATTTCTGGAATCAGAAACCTAAGAATCATAGAATAAACCAAATACCCAATTTAAGTTAGAAAAGACCATACACCCATACATACACACACACACACACACACACACACACACACACACACACAATCCAGAATCCCAACTAAACAAAAAGGTGTTTCTTTAAAAAGATCAAGCTATTTCTGTATAAGACAGAGAAAATATTTTGGATTGCCAGGCCAGTCTGTGTCATAGCTGTTAGACTCTGCTATTGTAGCTTAAGGCAATCACTGACAACAAACAGGCATAGCCTGGCTGCAACTGTTTATTCACAAAAACAGGAGGTAGGCCGGATTGGGTCCATTGACCCTAGTTTGCAGAACTCTGGAAAGAAAACTAAGTTAACAATCTTCTGAGCAAAGGTGATTAGGAGGGAAAAAAGAGACATGCATTGACTATGTTAGAGCTTAAAACTTATAAGTAACTTCATGCCAGCATGTATAGAAACTAAGATGAAATGGAAATATGTTTAGAAAAAAAAATGTAAGCTTATCAAGTGATTAAAAAGGACACAGAGTACCTTTATAGTCATATAATTCTAAAAGTCATCTAGAAGAAAAGCCTAACATTTCTTTTCAAGTATTAGGTGTTGAAGACTCTCCATTCTAATCTGAGAGCACAGAGGAAACACAGCTATGAAAAATGTGCTCTTGTTTATGGGGCTCTCAGGTTCAGTTCTTTCTCTTCTCTCAAAACTGAAACTGTTGGATTCTTCTGAAACTTCTCAGCTTTGACTTCACAACACTGCAATGGTAACTGACTTAGCTTGACATCACTGCTTGCTTAGGGCTGGATTTTTTTTTTTTTTTTTAATCTTGGTAACTATTTGCAACACAGCTCCTAGTTTCAAGTAGGACTGTAATTTATCCATTGACTACTCTTCCGCATCTTTGAGTGCTAGAGCTCTCTGGCTAGAAGCTGCTATCTGATGACAAATATTCTGTAATGTCATACTCTCTACCTGCTTCTATTTCTTCTTTTATTTTTTAACTTATTTTTTATTTTATGTGTCAATATCATGCCTCCATGTATGCAAATGCATGCAAGGCCCAAAGAGGCAAGAAGAGACTATTGGCTCCCCTGGAACTGGAGTTATAGACGGTTGTTAGCTGCCATGTATGTGAAGGGATTTGAACCCAGGGCTTCTGCAAAAGCAACCAGTGCTCTGAACCACTAAACCATCTCCCAGTCCCTGCTTCTATTTCTACATCATAAGTTCCTATATTCTCTACTACCTTGCCATTTTCAATTTTCATTTTCTCTCTCATCATTCATTGACTTAAGATCTGGTTTACCACCTCTTGGTTACTACTTTATCTTTGGATAGATGAAATATTCTGCCTGATGAAATTCTTTTTAGTACTACATCTGGCTTAGTCCCTTGTCCTTTAGTACCTGCCCCCGACAAAGAATGGGTGGTTTGCAGTCTTATCAATGCCCAGCACTATCTACATGGTCTGACAGACTATCTCTAAGCCATATCCTAAGACTCACCAATTCTTGTATGTGTGTGCATAGTGTGCATGTGCATCATTGATTCTTTAGCTTCAAAAGCATCTAAAATGTTTCATTCCACAATTCTTTATAGGATGCAGCACTTTGGGAAACAAATAAAAAGAAATACGCACAGGAAAAAGTTCATATGGACTTGTCAGAGCTGAAAAATAATTTCAGGTGTAGAAAACTTGCTGGTTTTCATTTACTAGTAACCTACATACAGCATTTGACTTTGAAGGTTGTTTTTTAATTTTTTATAAAGAAAACTCTTACAAGTTAGAGGAAGCCAACAATGAATTAAGAGTAAGTTACATATTTCCTTATTTGAAAACTGAAGATAAACTGAGAACATTCTTAAATCTTAGAAATTTAGGAAAACTATAGGGCTAGAGGGATGGCTCGGTGGTTAAGAGCATTGATGGTTCTCGCAGATGATCTGGGTTCAATTCCCAGCACTCACATGGCAGTTACAACCATCTGTAACTCTAGTTCCAGGGGATCTGATGCCCTCTTCTGACCTCCACAGACACCGCACAACATGAATGCACTTACATACATGCTGGCAATACAATTCATACACATAAAATAAAAATAATAGGTAAAATATTTTTTAAAAGAAATTTAGAAAAACTAAAGTCTTTCTCTGATTTAGTTAAGTGAGAATAGTTAACACTTATATAATACCTAAAAGGCCACTTGATTGTACTTACTTCCTTTTCATTCCCTCACAATTTTCTCCAAGGTCTTAGTCACACGTTTGAATAACACTTAACTCATTCACTTCCATCTGAACATGAATTACTGGACTACATTCACAAACCAGTTACAAGTAAAAAGTGATTGCAGGCAGATTTCAGAAACCCCAGCGAAGTTTTCCAAAGTGCCATCTCCCCCTCAGCCCACTGGTGTTCATTTTGAGTTTTCCCTTATTCTGGCGAACTTAGGACAGACTTATTACTTCAATACCAGAATCTATTATTTAGCTAAAGAAACAAAGGGCCCTGTAGCAAAATCCAAGCATAAAACTAATTTTTTGAACTGTTTAAAAATATTTTCTTTATAGTGAGATTGAGTAGGGTTATTAAAGTAATCTTATAAAAATCACTTTTACTTTGACAAAAGTGTGGGCCTTTTGTGTAAACTTTCTGTTTCATCTACAGTGCTTTGAGAAGTCTATTAAAAGTAGGTTAACTCATGAAACTAAAATCACCCACATGTTTTGCCTTTTGTTTTCTACTAATTACACACATCTAGTAACTGGATTCCTCTACTGGTTTACACGTAATAGAAAGCATTGAAGTCTATCTGAATTATAATGCAACCATGCCATCTACATCTGCCCAAAGGTTCCTGTGAAGCAGGATACATGATACCAGCAATTTCACGCGAAGACCTTAATATGATTTCAGTCATTGTTGCTAACCAATTCTGTAATCATAAACTCCAGTATTCATATCTAAAATAATTTATTTAAATAAAGATCAGATGGTAAAATTGCTGAAAATAAGATTAACATACAAAAATCAGCCAGGAATAGCCATTTAAAACAGATGTGAGGGAAAACATCCCATTTATGAGTATATTCGTTTTATATCTATTTGTTCATTCTAATTAAATCAAAGAATTAAAAGTATAATATAGAAATTTAATATACACATAATTTGACCCAATAAATGTAAAAAGTATGTGACTAAAAGAATTAAAAAATTAATTACTGAGGAATGGAAGATATCTGAATAAGGAGATACATATATTCTATTCATACATAGGTGTCATTACTGTTAATACATTGTTACCAAATAACCTACCCATCAAACACACATTTTTGAGAAACTTGATAAATGTATCTAAAATGTTATTTGGAAGAATATCTAAGATTACCAAAATCCTAAAAAAAAAAAAGAAACCCTCAAAAGTTGTAGCACTAGACTGGAAACTGGAGAACTTGTCTTTCTAGATAATGAATCAGATTGTTATGAAGCTATGGTATTTATAGTAAGTCTATCCTGGTGAGGGGATACAAAATTACTGATGCCACACAGAACAAGATCAACAGATATGATTATATAGAACCAAGCTCACATGTGATAAACAGTGAAATTTCAAAGGAAAAATGATCATCTGGGAAAATGTTATTACATAAAGACAAATGATTAAGATGTAAAAAGTTCTTACCATTTTTTTAAAAACAACTGTACTATTATAACAGTTTCATGAGTGTAAAACTGAATGTGCATTAAACATATGAAAAGATACTCATTCTCACTAAGACAAGTAGCTTGAGCACTGATTTTCTTCATCTATTAGACTTGCAAACCTTGAAATGTAAAATGCACTACCTGCAAATGCATGTATAAACGGGCATTTGCATACTAATAATGAAGCACATATGTCAGCGGCATCACATCTGCATACTCCTTGATCCCACAAGTTACGTGTGGGGATCCATTCTACAGAAGAACACGAACAAGATAATGTTCATATACCACCACACCTAAAATTTAAAAACTGGCAACAATCTAAATGATACCACAACATGAACAGTGAAGGTAAACAATAGCCACGCATGCTATGGAGCATAATGCAAGCCACACAAGAACTTCATAGTCTGTGTGGCCATGTTACTTCACTCAGAACCAAGGAATCTGGAGAACAAGATCCCATGTTTATACCCGTAAAGATCAGTTTCCAAAAGTTTACAATGCAATAGTTTATATCCTTTTCTGACTAAACATCTTCACAGTGAGCACATAATTCGTTTTCATATGAAAGCACAAGTTTGAGGGAAAAGAATGTGAGGTTGAATGTGAAATACTAGTTAACCTAAACTTTCTTTACTAAGAATTTATTCCTTTCTTCTGAAGGATACAGGATTATTTTTACAAAATCTAGCTAAGAAAGTCTTTTTCACACCTGAAGATGCATTCATTTTTCTGAGCACTCACTGGATACATTAGACTCTGGGGATAAGATATGATACTGCAAGGGATAGACCAGGATACAAACAAATTACAACAAAGTGATTTGAACTTATTATAAGAGAAGTGTACATAAGGATAAAAATGAAAAGGAAAGGTCATTCTATGTGGAGGAAAAGACAACAGAAAAGACCTAATTTAAGATCATGCTGAAGCTGAATTTTATAGATATGTTGGCCAGATAAATAGGAGAAAGCAAGTAAGTGCAAAAGTTTGTACACATTCACACGAGGTTTACATATAACGTATGTATGTATATATATATATATGTACATACGTATGCACACTTAAGCAGATGACTTCTGGATAAAGTGCTATAAATATGCAACAATGGTAATATTTAATGCTAAGTATCTAACCAGTAAAATTCTTTGAGCATTCATCTACTATACCTTTGTTTTCTACAGTAGCAGGAAATGGCTGTATGTTATTATTTTTACATTTTTTTCTTACAAAAGTGTACAAGAAAATTTTAATGACTATCTACCACTAAAATCTTATTTTAAGTAACAGCAACAAAAATTTGTTGCAAATACAAAGTGTATGCTTTCACTGTTCAAATTCTGACATTAAAAAAAAAAATCTTACTGTATAGTTCTAAAACGCAAACATGTTTGAGTTCTATAGAAAACAGCCCTAACACAATAAACAGTCTCCTTTCATAAAAGAGCTATATTGTCCTAAGGGGTATTTTTAATATTGCTTTTAGGAAGTGTTTTCCTCTCCTGCACACAATCACTAAGTTCCCCTTTAGGGTCCAGCACCACATCTCACACATCCTCACAGAAACAAGCCATGTACTTCGTACCTCGTGGAGCGTGAGGTGTTTTCCATCCTTTCTTTTTGAGTCAAATCTGCCGTATATTGCACTGTATTTTCGAATCTCCTCTTCCTTGTGTGGATCTTCGTCATTCATCTCAAAGATGTGACCAATCATTTTGGCCAACTTCTTATTGTTCTTTAACAGCTCTTTCACTTCGTTCAAGTCACTTTTGGGAAGCGTGGGGGCCATTCTCTCCACGCACTCGGCCACAGAGAGCGCAGCTGCAGCATCCAGAGCCTCACTGCTTTCCTTTGGGGAGGCTGGGGAGCCCAGGTCTGCTGGGGAAAGACTGTGCTCACTCTCTGTGGTGTGCTGTCCTTGCCAGAGTCTGGAATCACTGACACTCTGCAGTGCTAAGCTCCCCACTTCCGACTTCCCCTGTCCCAAGCTCTGCACACAGGTAGTGGCAGCACATTTCGGGATTTTCAAATGCGGCTCCCGGGTATTGCTATTCCTTTCGTAGCTACTGCAGGATATTCCCAGCCATGTTGGGGAGCCCTCTGGTAATTTATAGATAGGTATGCTACTGACAGGAAGGGAAGTCAGGGGCTGATTGAAAAGACCAGGATTTGTAACCCAGTCTCTCAAAGCCTTCTGTAACCTTCTAACATGAAGAGGCTTGCTGGCCATGCCCACGAGTGCCATGATTTCCAAAAATTCCTCTTCTCCAGCTTCACAGAGTTGCTGGACATCATCACCACCTTGTTGGATAAAGGCATCAAAATAAGAAAGCAGATTAGCTTTCTGCAATATTCTATACAGCTGCAACTCCCCCAGGGTCCTAGGTAAGGCCGTGGCCATTACTGTGGATGGGTTCAACCTAGAAAAAGAAGAGAGGAAAAATTCACAATTGCCTAAAATTTCTTAAACGAAATGGGTTAGACATAACAAGACTTAGGCATGCAATGTAAGAAAACAAGATGATGGTTAAGGAAGCAGTCCCCATATGCTTTTCTCCCTAGGGTGGAGGCACAACGGTAAAGGTAAATCAAAATTAGCAGGAGGTAAGAAGTCAATATGTTACCAATCACTGAACTCTTATTTTGTGCTAAGCAATGTGATACACTGCATCACATATGTCTAATCCTCACAACAAACCCAGTCAGACAGACTTAGTTATTCCTGTTTTATAAAGAAAAGTAAACAAGATTAGCCTAGTAAGTGAAAGAAGATAATTTCATGTGAATTGGTAGTAATAAAACAAAAAATAGCATATTTAACGACTCAGGATGGGGGGTAGCAAAAGTTCGAGCAAGTGATGAATTATGTTCACTTTGGTGCAAGTGGTACAGAAGAGGACATGGCTATCATTTGTTAGTACTTCCGATGGCTTAAGGAAGGAAGTGATAGGTGACAATGGAATACATACTCAGTAAGAGTCAAGAATTATGACAGGTATTGAGAATATAGAAAACTCGGGTCACCGGTTATAATGCTAATGTAGAACTGCCCTACATGAAGAATAACAGACTGGGGTCTATGTATGTATCAGAGATATCTCCATACAAGGATGAAATCTGGAGGGGGGTGAGCCCTCCAAAGAAGCAGCAGAGAATCAAAATGGAACGAGAGCCAAGCAAGATAGTGAAGAGACAGAAAGATTCAGAAAACCACATTCCCACCTCTCAGGGCCTTGAAAAGGTACTCCTTGACTGGAGACCTCACAAGGAAGAGTTGGCCAATTACTTCCATTACCAGAAGCAAACTTGTAATCAATACACCTATAAGATTAAAAAGACACAGAAGCCCTTTATGGAGAAATTCACAGATGACCAAAAGCATGCACACACTGGAGGAATATGGAAGACCTGTTCTCAACTCTACTGGAATATAGGAACAGTTAACTGAGATATAGAAGCAGAGGTACACAGGCAAACACTTGAAAACAAGGAAGTCACCATGCCTAGACTTGGTTTCAAAAGGCACCAACTAGAATGCTACATAAAATTCTAATCTGAGCCACCCCAACTAAGAACAAGTCTCTCTATCACTCTAAAGACCAACTGTTCAGCCCTGTCTCCTGGAACTTTTGAATCACAACATTTGGATCAACTAGCAACCTCTTCAAACTTCATGGTTCTTTATTTACTTGGGTTAGTATGGACAGGGCCTTGATGACTTTTCAACAGTATATTTAATGTGTGTCCAATGGCTCCTGCTAGACTCAAGAAGTTATCTACAGTCCTTCTGAAAAAGTTTCCTTAGTCCCTGAACTTTATCTCAGGAAACCCAGGATTTGGCAGATGAAGGAAACTGTCCAAGATCCTCATTCAGCATATCCTCTAGGCAACAGAAACTGCAGGTTCTGTGACTGTTCAGATCGGGCCTACTTCATGGTCACTCTACCTCATCCTGAGTAAATACCTTCTGTCTTCTTGATCACCTAAATGATCAAGTAGTTTCCAAGTAGTATCCTTTCTCCTCTTTACCCAGAAAAGAAAACCTCCCAGTTATTAAGAGAAAGAACTTGTAGATTGGTAAGTAGTTATAAGGAATGATGAGCCCAAGTGTGCATTTCCAAAGTCAAGATAACAGATGAAAGATAGCTTGCCCAGAGTCCCAGGAGGCTCTCTAAAGACCCACATTTGCTGCTGGAAAGGAGTTTTCTCCCTTAGCTTTCACATCAGAGGAATGTGTCAGCTTCCTTCCAAAGCCTGCTGTGATCATTTAAACACCCACTACTTCATACATTAACTTGATTGGATTTGAAAGAAATGGTTACACAAAAATCTGTGCCATTCATGCCTCAACATGAAGGTCAAACAAGCTGAAAACAAGTTGTACTTGTATCCCTCTGATCTCAACTAAAGTATCAAAGGTTCCAAACACAATCCTGCCTACAAGTAGCTACAGTAAAACCACCCAGGTAAAAACTATTGTATTTGGCTTTTCCAAGACATCCTAGAACACCAAGCTGAGTCTGGCCTTTTTATAAAGTCCATAGTTTAAAAAAAAAAACAAAAAAAAACAGTTACTCGTTGTTACTGTTTCCAAGATAACCTGAAACCCTGTGGTCCCAGTGTAGCATTATCCATCTACTTATCAGTAAAAAGAATCACAGTGCTAGAAAGAGGAACTTAAAAACATTAGTTTTAGACAACTTATTTTTCACTAGGTCAAATGGTAATGATTGGTCCCAAAGCTTTAAAAAAAATCCAGCTCACTTTGGCTATTACAAGCAGCAACAGTCATCTGCCAGGTTCAAGCTAAGTAAAATGAGAAGCTGTACCAGTCAACTCTTGTTCTGCTATGGTAAACAAAAATTTCCTGACATTCTCCTGGCCTGGGTATGAAGATTCTGGGAATGACAGAGAGGCACCTTTCATGGTCTCTAGGAAAAAGAAAAATCATTCAAACTACCTCTATCCAGTCTGCTTTCAGGACCCATCACTCTATCAAAAGTCTAAGTGACTGCAGAGTTATCACCTAGGTGTCCCTCATAAATCTCATATACATCCCTCCCTGAAATGTTTTTCATTTAACTCTGATAATGTCACAATTTTCCTTTCTCTACTTTAATCTTTTACTATATTCTAAGTTCAAGAATTCTCTAAACTTGTTACTGTTGTTGTTGGGAGTTGGGGGTGGTGGACATTACTATGCTGGCCAAACTAGCCTGAGGTGGTCCTCTGGCCTCAGAATCCTGAGTGCTGGGATTACAGGTATGGGCTGCCACACCGAGCTGTCAGGGTTTTGCACTCTATCTCTTTTCTACTGTCTTTCAGTATTATTCCTTGATGATTTCTTCTACTCCCACCAGGAGTCAACTGCTGCTAAAGACAGTCATCTCCAAAACTGTTAACTGTAGCTTAGACCAGGACTGTTTTTCAACTTTATCCACTTGCAACCCCCAAACCCCCTTTTTTTTTTGGTCTTTTTGAGACAGGATCTTTTTGGTCTCCCTTGTAGCCCCAGCTGGCCCAGAACTCACTATGTAGACCAGGCTGGCCTTGAACTCACAGAGATCTGCCTGCCTCTGCCTTCCAGGTGCTGGGATTAAAGGTGTGCTCATCCGCAACCCCTTTTTGACTGGAATTTTCTTTTTTTTTTTTTGTCTTTTTGAGACAGGGTCTTCCTGTATCTCCAGCTGTCCTGGAATTCACTATGTAGACCAGGCTGGCCTTGAACTCACAGAGATCCACCTGTCTCTGCCTCCCGGGTGCTAGGATTAAAGGCATGCACCGAAATTTTTTTATAAGACGCTGAGAATACAGATATAATAAATAGCTATACTGACCAAAATTTACTAATAAATCAAAGAAATTTATTTTAAAACAATTATTTAGTAAATACAATTTTACCTTTATTAAAGATGAAAGCAAATTTATATACTAATGAGAAGGATGTGCTTGTATATTTTTACATAAAGAATTAAATCTTGCTTGAATATGTGATACTGCTGGACCAGAGCATCTGTAACATTTTTCAGAGCTGATCAATATTTAAATTTTTATAATTGTCAATGCTGAGAGCACTGCTTCACATAAATATGTAGTACAAAATGATACAAGTGTGTTTAGGACCATTTCATAAGTTGCTAGAAATTATTTCCTAAGCTCAAGCCAAAATTCATTTAATAATTTCATGTGTGTTTTTTTGTGAAACTCAAGTGACCAACTCAAACAGCAATTTAAAAACAATCTAATACAATCCACAGACATACTTCTTTGATACTTATGTTAGGAATGATGGCAGGAAAATACTAGAAGTCTTTGTTTTCCATAATTAATTGATTACATTTCTATAGGAGCAGAAAACTCTGTATGTACAGCAAAGCACTGCAATTTGTAACATAACAAGTCTTAAGACCCAAGGTGCAGTCTTTTTGCAAGCATTCATTGGTACTGTGGGGCACGTAGGATATGCAAGTGCAAATGATACATGTTATCTTTTGAACCAAGGCTGCAGTGCAGCTGTGTGATGCAACACAGGTGAGCACTGCCAGCCTCAGAGTCATTACAGGATTTGTTTGTTTGTTTGTTTAAAGTTCTTATGAGTTCAGAACCACTACCAACTTTTTCAACATCCCCCACATTGAGTTACATGACCCCATCCAGGGTAATGACCTAGTCTAAGAAGCTGTGCCTTAGACCAATCAATCATTCATAGGCAGAGACTACAGAGTTACTACAAAGAAATCTCAAATCAAAATGTACCCTGAACTATGGCTACTGAGCAAAAATGATGCTTTTCACTATAAATAAAGGTAAATGAACACTTCTATGATTTCATTAAGGTACAAACTCATTTAAAAGTATAACCAAATTTGTTCTTTTAAGTATATTGACTGATGGGGCTGGAGAGATGGCTCAGAGGTTAAGAACACTGGTTGTTCTTACAGAAGACCCAGGTTCAAATCCCAGCACCCACATGGCAGCTAACAACTGTCTATAATGCCAGTCCCAGGGATCTGACAGCCTCTTCTGACCTCCACCGGCATTGCAAGACACAGGTGCACTTACCTACATGCAGGTAATACACACAAACACATAAAATGAATAAATAAAACTAAAAAAGAATATTGACTGCAGAGGTTGGAGAGATGGCTCAGTGGTTAAGAGCACTTACTGCTCTTACACAGGGCCTAGGTTCAATTCCCAGCACCCATATGGCAGCTACGGACTAGCCTTAACTCTAGTTCCAAGGGAATCTGAAGCCCTCTTCTGACCTCCGTGGCATTGCATGACATGGGTACACTCACATACATGCAGGCAATACACTCATACACATAAAAATAATAAATAAAAAAATTTAAAAAGAATATTGACTGCATTATCAATAAAAATGCTAAAAATAAAATGTGTATTTGCAGGTTTTTTT